CGGGCGGAGCCCGCGGCGCAGACGGCGCCTCGCGGGGGGACGGGCTCACTGCTGCCTGCCCGCGACGAACTTCGGGCCCTCGACCTCCGTCTGCTGGAGGGGCCGTCGTCGCGGGGGCCCCTGGCTCGCGCGCCCGAGGGCTGCGGCTGCGGACTACCCGACGCCTCAAGCCTGAGAAGAGTCCACGGCTCGGCGTAGTAGCAGTAGCCTGCGCTGCTCTGCCAGCCCCCCCACCTAGGTGCAGGAGGCAAAGTGGTACACCCTCGGCGTTGCCAACTGCCTGGCGGTAGCAGGTCAGCTGGGAGCACTTGTCGCGGTGCGGGGGGCCCTGTAGACCTGCGAATGATGGGCGCAGAGATGGGCGAGGGAGTTCCTCCCGTCGCTAGGGGGCGGGAGGTCGGAAGCCTGGCCGTCCTCCGCGAGCAGGGTTGTCGGCTCGGCCTCTGCGGCATCGCGGCAGCCGTCGGGGGCCAAGGGGCGAGCGCCTCCGCGAAGTACGATTCCCACCCGGACCGCCTCGCATGGCTTGTCCTCGGCCTCTACCTCGGCCCTACCTCTACCTTGTAGTACCTCTACACACTCTACCTTGTCCTCGGCCTCTGCCTCGGACTCCTGATCAAGGACCTCTACGACACTTCCTGCAACGCCTGGCTCCGCAGCGCCTGTCTTACGACGGCGGCGTCGCCGGCAGCAGAAAGAGCAGCCGCAGGACAAGAGGCAGTACGTGAACACAATGACTCGCCACGTGCCGCGCCATTGATCCGTGAAGGCCCGCCAGAGTAGGAAGATGCCGCGGCAGGAGGTGAACTTGGCGTGGGAGCCGATGTCCACGATCGCTTCGGAGTCCAGGGCTGCGCACCCCTTGCAGTGGATCTCCCCGGGCCGATCTCGGCAGACCATGTTGCGGCACAGGTGGATCGAACGGCCCTCAAGCGTCTCCAGCTTCTGGCGGAGCGCGCGAGAGCTGGCCCCCTTCACGCTCAGGTAATCCACTCAGAGGCCTGTCCGGTCGATCCTCTTGGGCTCAGCGAGGTCGATCCGCACCCGCGCCGCATGGTCGTCGATCTTGACCAACACGTCGTTCGGCCTCCTCCCCGTCCCACGACCCTTCACCGTCTTGCTGTAGTACTCGGTGGTCGTGGCGGGTCCGGTCTGTGGCCCCATCCAGTGGATCTGGGCGAGGGCAGGCGGAGCTGGCGGCAGGTACCTTTCGGCGGCTGCATCGCCAGGTTCTCGCCGGCGGCACTTGAAGCACCGCGCCAGAAGACCAATCGACCAGAGGGCGGCGGCACAGGGGGCCAGCAGCGCCCGGCAGACGTGGGTGAGGAAAGCGCGCGTCGCGAGGAAGGCCAGGAATATGAACGTCCACGCCACCGCCGGCCAGGCGGCCCCGAAGACCGTCAGGCCCAGCTTCTCGAGGGCGTAGAAGAACCAGCCGCCCTCCTTGGTCAGCCAGCCCGTCTCGGCGCGGGTCGAGAAGGCGCTCCCGAGGCTGTCCAGCTTCTCGCGCGCGCCCCCGCCCATGCCGCTCACGCGCCAGGCCCGGGTGCCCTCGCCCAAGAGATTCCAGCCCAGCGCTCAGACGCCCCAGCCGCCGATCCAGGACTCTCCGTCGCTGGGGCCGCCAGTGGCGTTGCTGGTTTTGTCGACTCCTCCGGCGGCGTGGGCGGGCGGCTGAGGGGGCGCACCCGGCGGCCCACCGTCGGGCGGCGCCTGGGTGCTGCCAGCAGCCTCACCTCCCTCCTCTGGCTCGCCGGTCTCCGCGCCGTACTCGGAGTCGTCGCAGTGCGGCACGGTGCGCCCAGGCAAGGCCTCGCGGGCCTCGGCTGGGCTGGCCCACCCGGCGCGGGCCGCCGCCGTGCCGAGCGGCCCGCGCCAGTCGTAGGCGGCCGCGCCGGCGGCCAGCGCGACCACCCCGCGCGCGGGGCCCGCCGGCGCCAGGCGCCAGGCGGCCATCGCACGCGCGCTTCCGGGCGCCCAGGGGGCGCCCAGACCTCCCGAGGTCGGCCCCAGGGCTTTGGGCCCCGAAGGCTTGAGCGGGAGAGAAGGGGAGAGAGAGAGAGAGAGAGAGATAGAGAAAGAGAGAGAGAGAGAGAGCAGCAACAGCAGCAGAGGCAAGGGCAGGGAGAGAGAGGAAACCCAAGCCGACTGGGGAGGGCGGGGTCCAACCGTTTAGGTCAAACAACTAAGAAGCACCTGGGAGCGCTTGGCATCGCTTGGGGACGCTTGGGGGCGTCTGGGGCCGCCAGGGGGCGCCGGGACGAACCTGGGGGCGCACTTGGGAGCGCTTCAGAGCGTTTGGGAACGCCTGGAACTGGGGCGCCCGGTAAGGCCCGGGAACGCCTGGGACGCCTGGGAGCGCCCAGGACGACTGGGAGCGCTCGGGGACACTTGGTCAGCACCTGCGCGCGCAGGCAGGGCAACGCGCAAACCTGGAACCTGCGCGCGCGGGAAGGCAGAGCAAACGCATTTTAGCCTGCGCGCGCAGGCAAGGACCCTGAGCAACCATAAACCTGCGCGCGCAGGCAAGGCAACGCGGGAACCTCATACCTGCGCTCGCAGGCAAGGCAACGCACGCGCCTTAAACCTGCGCGCGCAGGCAAGGCACCGCACAAAACTGGAACCTGCGCGCGTAGGCAAGGACGCACGCGCCTTAAACCTGCGCGCGCAGGCAAGGCAACGCACAAACCTGAAACCTGCGCGCGTAGGCAAGGACGCACGCGCCTTAAACCTGCCCGTGCAGGCAAAGCAAAGCACGAGCTCCAACCATGCGCGCGCAACTAAACCAACCCGCCGATCTGGCGCGTGAGTTTCAAAGACCCTCAGAACAGCCTGAGCCTCAATTCCTGAGCTTCAGCTCAACTGGGGGGGGGGGGGGGGGGCGGGCCCCAGGGCGACTCTGCCGGGACGGGGAAGGGGGGGGGGGGGGGGGGGGCGATTCAATTCCCAGGGCGAAATCAAAGCTCCAGCTCACTCCAGGACGGCCCCCTCGCCGAGGAGGGCACCAGCATGGGCCAAGAGGGCCCCGCGTCGCCGAGCGATCGCTACAAAACGCCCAAGATGCCCCCAAGACGGCTCCAGAAGCCGCCAAGATGTATAGGAGCCCTGAAAAAGGCTTCCCACAGGAGGCCCAATTATCCCAGTGCGACCCTACCTAGGAGTTGGAGCATTTAGGAAAACAGCATCTACATCTACACCGACAGCTACATATACATCTACACCTGCATCTACATCTACATCTACATCTACAGCGGGACTCACATCAACATCTACATCTACATCTAATCTACATCTACATCTACATCTACATCTGCATCTACATCTACATCTACATCTACATCTACATCTACATCTACATCTACGTCTACATATACATATACATCTACAGTTGCGCCTACATCTACAGCTCTGATATGCTAGGGTACGCTCGGCTGCGCTGTGCTATGATCGGCTAGGTTATGCTATGATATGCTGCGCTATGCTATGCTATGTTATGCTGCGATATGATATGATATGGTATGGTATGTGATGTTGCGCCATGGTATGGTATGCGATGTTATGATATAACATTATGCGCTATGCTTGCAATGCTATGTAATGCTATGGTATGCTGCGCTATGCTATGCTATGCTATGATATGATATGATGTGATATGCTGTGCTATGCTGCGCTGTGTTATTCTAAGTAAGGCTATGCTATGTTATGCTATGATATGCTGCGCTATGCAATGCTATGCTATGGTATGATGTGCTATGCTGGGCTATGCGATGCTATGATATGCTATGCTATGCGTGGCTATGCTATGCTACGCTATGCTGTGCTAATGCTGCGCTGCGCTTTGCTGCGCTGCGCTAAACTAAAGTGAGCTAAGCTATGCTAAGCTAAGCTCGGCTAGGCTAAGCTAAGCCAAGCTAAGCTAAGCGAAGATGAGATAAGCTAGGCACAGCTAAGCTAAACTAGGTTAGGCAAAGCCAAGCTAAGCTTGACTAAGCTAAGTTAAGATGAGATAAGCTAAGCTAAGCTAAGCTAAGCTAATCTAAACTAAGCTAAGCTAAACTGGGTGACCCCAGGGGGGGCGCAACTGGGGGAACCGCGGGGCGGGTGCCGGGGGGGCCGCCCGGGGCGATTTCCACTGCCCGGCCTTTTAAGATGACGCAGTAAGAACCCTTCCGGGCATAGCCTAGGTAGGGAATAAGCTAAACTAAGATGAAATAAGCAACGCTAAGCTGAGGGGGCGTAGCTGGGGAAACCGCGGGGCGGATGCCGGGGGAACCGCCCGGGGCGCTTTCCACTGCCCGGCCCTTCAGAGAACGCAGTAAGAACCCTTCTAGGCAGAGCCTAGGTAGGGAAAGAAGCAGAAACTGTCTCATTCCTTCGAAAAAGCGCCCGGTTTTAGCATATTCGCCTTTTGTGCCTTCACAGGGTCGCAGACGCCTCGAGCGAGCCCCAAAGCGGCCCGAGAAGCCGCCAAGAAGGCTCCGAGACGGCCCAAGAAGGACCCAAGATGGCCCAGGAGGCCCCCTGAAAGCCCCAAGAGGGCCCCAGCACGGGCCCAAGAGGTGCCTGGGCGGGCGCCGAGACGGCGGAAAATGTGCAGAAAACGGCCCAAGAAGCCCCCAGCAGGCCCCGGGGAAGCCTGAGGAAGCCCCAAGACACTTCCAAAAGCTCCCCCAGAGTCTCAGAACAAGCACCCAAGATGCCTTTTAGAGGCCTCCAAGCCGCCTCCAAGACACCCCCCGAGATGCCCGCGGCCGGCCCCAATGCTTCCGCGGCGCTTGCGTCTGAGCACCAGCGCTGCAATGCAAACGGTTCTTCCGCGCTTTCGCATCTCCCCCCGTCTTCGGTGCCCATCGCATCCATGATCTCGCAAGGGCCCACTGAGGGCCGCGCGAAAGCCCCAGAGACCCCGCACAAATATTCACTGCGTGGAGCTCCCCATATGTGCATCTACTCGCATGGACCTGTCCGCCGTGAATGTCTAGGCGCAAGAGCTTTCGAATATTAGCGGGCTTCAGTTGTGACGGTCTGGACATCAATCTAACTGCGAATGAATTGGAGTGTGAGTGAGCCTCAGTAGTACGAGCGCGTCTCTGTGCATGAGCCTGGGGCCTCCTGGGGCCTCATGAAACCTACTGGGGCTTCCTGGGGTCTCCAGGAGCCTCTTGGGACCTCCTGGGACCTCCTAGGAAGGTTTCGCGCCCCAGGAGAAACGCAATCTATAGCAACAGACGCACATAAAACATTGCGGCTTAGAGCCACTTTTTTTAAGACCAAGGCAGCTCGCGCGGCACGAGCCGATCCTGCCGCCAAGAAGGCGAGAGCCGCAAAATGCGGCCAGGAGGCTCCGCAAACAGCGGCCCCCAAGATGCCGCGCACTCGCCGCGCCACGTGGGCGTGCGCCGTCAGGTGAGGCGGCCACGCGAGCCACCACCCACCCCGCGCCGAACCTGAAAAGGCCCAGGCCACCGAAGGCACTCCCCACCTCACTCACTCAGGCGCTTGCCCGTCGCAAGACGCCCGAGGGAAAGCGCCGACATCTGAGGGCCGAATGCCGAGCCCCTCAGCGCGGCCCGCTCAGGCGGGAGGGCGCCGCCGCCGCCCCTTGCTCGCCCAAGCCCGCCACGGGGGCCCAAGCCCGAACTGGGAGCGGAGCCACTCTCGGCCAGCGGCAGCCTACGTCGCAGCCGTCGCACTGCCAGCCCGGTCGCCGGATGTCGCGGTCGACCGTGAGGGCCACGGTCGCCGCGTAGACGTGGCGGCGTAGCGCGAAAAGCCGCACGGGCCCGCGCGCAGGAGCAGCCGTGGCCGAGGCGCCGTCCACGCTGCCGAAGCCGTCCGCGCCGTCGGCACCCCCTCCATCCTCACCGAGCTCCTGCGCGACGCCGTAGAATCCGCCGAGGCGAGGAGAAGTCGAAGATGGGCTGGGGGCGCGGTCCTGTCCCTGTACTTGGCCGCCGTCCTCCTGCGTGTCCCGCTCGACGTCCGTGCCGCTGGTGGCAACCGCGCTGCTCCCGCAGAGGAGGGCAGCTTCGTTGGCCATCAGGTAGTCCGAGACGATACTGGGGCCCGCGCCGACAGGAGGAGAAAAAGTGCACGCCGTGCTGCACGCCTCGCCAGGGCCAGGAAGATCAGGAAGAGGATGAGGAAGACCACCATGCGCAGCAGGCAGAGGAGCAGGAGCGTCGATGCCCGCCGAGCCGCCGACGTCGCAGCCCTCGTGCGCCACCGCAACGCTAGCCTCCGCATCCTCGAAGCCAGCTTGCCACCACATCGGCCCAGACGCCAAGGGGGCCACGGGAGGCTGGCTAGCACTGCACACGCGCTCAGCAAGCGCGAAGCGAGCGCCAGCGGGAAGGCTGCGCCCGCGCCTGCGGGCCACGCCCCAGCCCGTCGACACTCTCTCGGACGCCGAGCGCTGGGCAGGCACACGGCGGTGAGCAAGGGCAGCACCAGCCGTGCGAGGAGGAAGATCAGCACGTCCGCGGCCAGCAGCGCCGCGCCCTTGCCGTAGCTGTCCTCCTGGGCGGTCGCGCCACGTACGCCGAGCAGACCTGCGGGGGCCAGCCCTGCGCGCCTCGCGCTGCACCGCGTTGAGCTCCTGCTGGCCCATCTGGGCGATGTCGGCAGCCTGCACTCGGAAGTGGTGGGCCGCCGTGTTTCGCCTGCCGACGTCCAGCGAGCTGGGAGCAGGAGGGGGAGCCCCTCGGCTCTCCTCGCACCCCTGCTCCTCCTCGTGCATGGCGGCCCTGACCCCGTGGCTGATGCACGGCGCCATTAAGCGCAACCGCAGCTCGACCTCGTGCAGGACGCGGGCCTCGAAGTCAGCAGCTGCAGGAACCGCGGGGGCCGCGGCCGCCGCCCGCGCACGACGTAGCTCGCCCTCCAGCTCCACGATGCGCGCAAAGGCAGCCGCCAGCCTCCCGTCTGCCGCTTGCCTCGCCGCGGCCCGCCGCGCACGCCGCGCGGGCCACAGCGAGAGGGCCTCCATGCCGCGGAGCTGCTCCGCCGCCTCGGGGGCGGCATGGCAGCCGACCGTAGCCATCTCCCCAAGCGAGTCTCAGCTGCAGAGCGCGAGGCGGGCGCGGCCGAGGCAAGACTGAGAACGGTTTGAGCCAAAATGGCTACGGAGGCTTAGAACCACAGGAGAAGGGCAATCTATAGGAACACGCGTAACACACCAAGGACTCGTGCCCCAGGAGAGGCCCAATACATAGGAACATGAGTAAAACATTTAGGATTGTGTACACAGGAGAAGGACCATCTATAGAAACATACGTAGAACATCAAAGAATCGTGCTCCAGGTGAGGCCCAATCGATAGGAGCATACGTAAAACACATGGGATTGGAGCCACTCCTGTTGCCTTCTGAGGCCTCCTGCTCCTGGGGCCTCTCGGGGCCTCCTGTTGCCTTCCGAGGCCTCCTGGCGCTTCCTGTTGCCTCCTGGGGCCTCCTGTGGTTTCCTGAGGCCTTCTGGAGCTTCCTGGGGCCTCCTGGAGCCTCTTGGGACATCCTGTGGCCTCTTGAGTCTTTCTGTGGCCTCCTGATGCCTCCTGGGACCTCATGTGGTCTCCTGGGGCCTCCTGGAGCCTGTTGGAGCCTCCTGTGGCATCCTGAGAAGAATCTGCGCCCACGAGCCTGGCCACCAAAACAAGCAAACCGATCGAGACATCCTCAAAATCTGGCCCACCTGGGGGGTGAAAATGAGCGCCTCGCTCGAGACATCCTCCAAATCTGCTCCGAAAGCGAAGGATGTTGGGCCCAGAAACAAGCAAACCGCCTGAGACATCCCCACAAAATGGCCGCGAACGAGCCCGTGCAACCACCCCTGGCGGCTCCCCTTAGGGGTGCTGAAATGAGCGCCTCGCTCGAAACATCCTCCAAATCTGCTCCGAAAGCGAAGGATGTTGGGCCCAGAAACAAGCAAACCGCCTGAGACATCCCCACAAAATGGCCGCGAACGAGCCCGTGCAAACACCCCTGGCGGCTCCCCTTAGGGGTGCTGAAATGAGCGCCTCGCTCGAGACATCCTCCAAATCTGCTCCGAAAGCGAAGGATGTTGGGCCCAGAAACAGGCAAACCGCCTGAGACATCCCCACAAAATGGCCGCGAACGAGCCCGTGCAAACACCCCTGGCGGCTCCCCTTAGGGGTGCTGAAATGAGCGCCTCGCTCGAGACATCCTCCAAATCTGTGTATGAGTAAGTCTGTGTATGAGTAAGTCTGTATATGAGTATGTCTGAGTGTGAGTAAGTCTGAGTATGAGTAGGTCTGAGTAAAGTCTGAGTATGAGTAAGTCTGTGCATGAGCAAGTCTGAGTATGTCCGACAGGAGGGGAGGAGAAAAGAGGAGGAGGAAGGAGGAGGAGTAGGAGGCGTCCAAGTAATAACAAGAACCCCATCTTAGGATATGGGGAAACATAGCGGTTCCCAGCAGCGGCCGGCGACGCACAAGGCTCCACAAAGAACTGCGACATAGACAGCTCTAGCGCACAGCTCTTCAGAGAGCGCACCAAATCGGCAAGGCGTCAACCCGAAGAGGGCCAGCGCCTGGCCCCAGAGAGGCTCCCCAACAAACGCCGAACATCTCCAACTCCTCGTCCTCTTCCATTTCCCGCTTCCTCCTGCTCCTCCTCATTCTCAGCATCCTGCTACTCCTGCCCTTCCACCCGCGCCCCCCTCCACCTCGTCATGATCCTCCTAATCCTCCTCCTCCTCCTCGTCCTACCCCGTTGCGTCCATTCCCAATCCTCGTCGTCGTCCTCGCCGCTCGCCGTCGTCGCCGGCCATGGCCGCCATCGCGCGCTTCCAGCGGCAACGGAAGCGTCCCGGATCGGCGGCGCTGGCCGGAGGCCACTACAATATGGCTGCCGCGCGTCGGATATGAACGCGGCGTTGCCCCGCGAGCGTGCGGATATAGCTGCCCGTAGGGTTCTCCTTGCGCGCGAAGGGGGGCGACGGGGGCGGATGGGCCGACGGCAAATGCCCGGGGCACGCGGCCGCCAGCGCGGGCCCCCTTAAGGGGGGGCGAGGGGGGTAGAACAACCCTAAACCCTACATGGGGCACTTCTGAGTGGAGGGTGGGAACGGGGGCGAAGAGCAGCCGACCCTCCCCACCTGGGCGGGGGGGGGCTCAAGCTGCCTCCACCAACGACGCTCAAGAACTAACAACCTATAAATATCAAAGCCTTGAGATCCCTGGCGGACACCCGCGGACACCCCCTATGCCGCCCTTCCGCCGACCCTCCCAATTTCGTCTTGTCATGCGGCCGGGATCCCTAACAAAAAATACGGTTTCCCACGCGTGCGGCCCGAATCCCTTATCAGGTCGCGCACCGCCGCGCCGCTCTCCGTCGCCTCCGCGACGCGCGTGCTCCGCGGGCCCGAGAGTCGCCCGACGCGGAGCCCACCCTCGCCCGGCCGCCGCCTCCGCCGTGCCGCCAGCAGAGTCGGCAGCCCTGAAAACCGCCTGACGCTTGCGAGTCGTGGCGGCGTGAACCAGGGCGCAGGGCATTGCCGCGGTTGCGCGAGCAGCCCGCCAAGAGCCCAAGTGGATACGGACGGAAGAGGCGGGGGGCGGAGTGTCTCATGCCCCCCCCGGCAACGCGCGAAGCTGCGCAGCACATCGCCAATGCGTCGGCAACCTGCTGTGGGGTGCTATCAACTGCCCCCTTCGATGCCATTCCGCATCGCCGCTGCATCGGGTTGAGGCGCTGCGCAAGTATTCCGCATGACGCATCGCACTGACGTCCTCGACGCGTTGAGTTCTGCATGCGATGGGTCATCGGTGGGTGGGGGTACGTCCAACGGGCTCCGAGTAAAAGTTGTGGATCCTAGAAAAAACCCTGGACCCTAAAACCTAAACTGCAAGCCGCGGTCTGTGCAATGTCCGCAGCCCGCGGCACCTGCCCGAGCGCTCAGCGAGCCTGCCCATGCAGCGCGCGCCACACCGACGAAGCGCGCAACGCTGAGCACGCATTCGCTTGCCGCGTGCTTGCAGCCCCGCTGGTTCGACCAACGAAAGAACCCCTAACCTCAACCGATAGCCACTGGGTGCGCTACGGTTGGTTCCGACCCTGGGGCTCCGAAACTATGAAAATACAACGTGCGGCGCTCTTTCGGTCGCCCGAGGGGCTGCAACCCGTATGAGAAACAGCATGCGGCGCCCTGGGACATTCTTCCTAGCGTTCCCACGGTGGTACCCCACGCGTTCCCAGGCGCTGCCACGCGTTCCTCGGCGTTCCCAGGCATTCCCAGGCGTTCCCAAGTGCCCCCGGGCGTTGGCGTTCCAAGCGTTCCCAGGCGCTGCGAAGCGCTCTCCACGGCTCCCAAGCGCTCCCGGGCGCTCCCAAGAGTTCCCGGGCGCCCCCAGGCGCTCGCGAACGCTCTTGGCGCTCCCAGGCGCTCCCCCGCCATGCAGCTGCTGCCGCAGCCGTGCCCGCGCATCGTTGCGAGGGGGCGCCGGGCCCGCCCCCTCGCGCCCCTCCTCCAGCCGCGCGAAGTTCGCGACGAAGGCGGTTGCGTCGATGAACGCAATCGCTTCGGCGGGGGGGACGCCAACGGCGAAGCCCAACGCCGAAGTCGAATGCGACGGCCGTGCGCGTCGCCGTCGGCCCCCGTGGACATCTGCGCCCGCGGCAGCCCCGCGGTGCAATTCAACGCCGAAGGCCGCGACGAGCAGCTCGGCAAAGCGAGCTCAAGCGCCCGCGCAGAGCGCAATTATGCGAAACACTCCCTGGCGCTCGCCGGCGCCCCCAGGCGCCCCCCAGTGGCCCCGGGCGCTCCCAAGCGCTCTCCAACGTTCCCAGGCGCTCCCAGTCGCTCCCAAGAGCTCCCGAGCGCCCCTGGGCGCTCGAGAACCATGGCGCTCCCGAGCGCCCCCCCGCCATGCAGGTGCTGCCGCAGCTTTGGCCGCGCATCGTTGCGAGGGGGCGCCAAACCCACCCCCTCGCGCTCCCCCTCCAGCCGCGCGAAGTTCGCGCTGAAGGCGGCTGCGTCGATGAATGCAATCGCTGCAGCGGGGGCGCCCGGGCGCTCCCAGGCGCTCGCGGGCGCGCGTTCCAAGCGCTCCAAGGCGCTCCCAGGCGCCCCCAAGCGCTCCCAAGCGCTCGCCGGCGCCCGCAGGCGCTCCTGGGCGCTCCCGGGCGCTCCAAGGCGATCCCAGACGCTCCCGAGCGCTCCCCCGCCATGCAGGCGCTGCCGCAGCCATGCCCGCGCATCGTGGCGAGGGGGCGCCGGGCCCGCCCCCTCGCGCCCCCCGCTCCAGCCGCGCGAAGTTCGCGACGAAGGCGGTTGCGTCGATGAACGCAATCGCTTCGGCGGGGGCGACGCCAACGGCGAAGCCCAACGCCGAAGTCGAATGCGACGGCCGTGCACATCGCCGTCGGCCACCGTGAACTCCTGCGCCCGCGACAGCCCCGCAATGCAATTCAACGCCGAAAGCCGCGACGAGCAGCTCGGCACGGCGAGCTCAAGTGCCCGCGCAGAGCACATCGCGCGAAACGCTCCTTGGCGCTCGCCGGCGCCCCCAGGCGCTCCCTAGCGGCCCCAGGCGCTCCCAAGCGCTCTCCAACGCTCCCGAGCGCTCCCAGGCGCTCCCGGGAATCCCGGGCGCCCCCGGGCGCTCGCGACCCCTGGCGCTCCCAAGCGCTCCCCCGCCATGCAGGTGCTGCCGCAACTTTGCCCGCGCATGTGCGCGGCGAGGGGGCGCCCGACCCGCCCCCTCGCGCCCCCCCTCCAGCCGCGCGAAGTTCGCGCCGAAGGCGGCTGCGTCGATGAACGCAGTCGCTGCAGCGGGGGCGCGCCTGCCAAGCGCTCCAAGGCGCTCCCAGGCGCCCCCAGGCGCTCCCAAGCGCTCGCCGGCGTGCCCAGGCGCTCCCGGGCGCTCCCGGGCGCTCCAAGGCGATCCCAGACGCTCCCAAGCGCTCACCCGCCATGCAGGCGCTGCCGCAGCCATGCCCGCGCATCGCAGCGAGGGGGCTCCAGGCCCGCGCCCTCGCGCCCCCCCCCTCAAGCCGCGCGAAGTTCGCGCCGAAGGCGGTTGCGTCGATGAATGCAATCGATTCGGCGGGGGCGACGTCGACGCGCCCGCCCCCTCGCGAATCCCCACCGCCATCCGAAGAGCGCG